TGTAATACTTACTGAATGAAAGCTGTAGTCTTCGATCTTTATTTGTAAGTGCTTTTCCCTTTCAGCAAGCTAGGTTGCATTATTTGCACGAACCTTGTTAATAAGCCTTTCTCCAATCCTGATCCTGCATTCTTCATCATATAATTTAGCTTTAGAGATGGAATAAGTATCGCGAAAGAGTACAATCCTGACACCCACTTTTCCAAATTTTAGATCATTGTTCTGTTTGAAAGACTGCCTCTTCAGTCTAGGTGCAGGTTCCTCACCATAATTAAGCATTCTAGAATTTTAGTTCTTCTCACTGCTTTCCAGTATTTGTTATCATTCACAGTCAAATACCTTTGCACTGCCAATGAAACACAGGCAAATCTGTTTCGGGTATTCTCTGCTTTCAGCCAAGACCCATTTGATGCCAACATGACGGTCTTTGCTCCGGGTCATCTTCTGAATCTGGTCTTGATTTCTGAAAGCTCCCTAGTGATGTACTGATGCAATTATTTTTCCATTATCCTCAGAAATGAGGGTATCACGTGCACGTGATACTGATAACATTAATAATTTCCACACTCTGTTGGGTCATTTTTCTTTGTAATGGGGACAAATATTGCTCTATTCCAGTCAATTGGCCAAGTAGCATATTTCAAATAAGTGCATTAATGCATTCTTTAAAATCTGATTTCATCTGAAAGTTGCTGTACAATCAATAGGCATTTTTATGTTTCTTTTGTCTTTGTGGGGACAGAATAGAGAGAGTGAGTTAGGCTGGATTGACTAGAGAAACAAATCCAGTGATGCTCAGATATATGTAAGAAAGAGTTTATATCAAGAAGTAATTATATACCAAGAAAACATTCCAGCCCAGTCCTACTCAATCCATAAGCTGATGCCAATCCTTGAGTCCCTCTTTAGACTCATGCGGCCACATGCAATGATGCAGAAGCCAGGAAGCAGAGTTACATGGATCCAAGGTTGGTGCAAACACAGCAGGGCGCGGGCAGCTCTGGTTTAGTAGCAAGGACAGAAAATCAGAGAGAGGGGGAGGTTCCCTGGGCTTTCCTGATGACTAGGCTACACCCACAAGGAGGCCCCATTTTGGGACTGATGGACAGGTGGGATACCACGCCTACAGTTTTATGTGTCTTCAAGTTGACATAGAATTATCTAACTCTCACAGAGAGGGAGTGAAAGAAGATTCTTTTTAAACTTCTAAAATAGAAATATAATACATATAATACAACCAATAAATAATCTGATGAATAATAACATACTATTTGGAGTGAAACTGTTAAATGCGATTGCTTTGGGGAAGCAGGAAATGTTCCCGAGGGAATGGAGAACGGCGATAAGCTGGTTTTGGTAACAGACATTGTAGACGTATTGGACTGTTAAAATCATATGCACATAGAACTGTGATTGGAAATAGTTAATGTTAAGAAAAGCAAATCAGATAATTCAACCAAGGTAAAAGATAGTATTGAAGTTGGTCAGCTCAAGAGTAAAAGATATCAGATTCCAGCTGCCACCTTGAAATTCAGAGATAGAGGAAAACCAAAACTGGGAACAGGTTTGAAGCCAATTTTCTTTCCAAGTATTAGGTCACTGGCAAACATATAGGAAACTATGGAGACCAAAATAATCCATGTAACAAAAGTGTCCTTGGGGGTGGAGAATGCACCGTGGTTCACTCTGGCTGCCCCTTCAGAGGAGACAATAGCACCTGTCAGAAGAGAGGCCTTGCTTTTACCAAGAGCTCTTTAAAGTATTTTGTAATTAGCCAGTGGATTATTTTCCTCTGAGTGTATACCCAGTCCCATTTCTTCATTTAAATGCCCATCTCTTCTCCATTTCCTTTTTCTTCATCTCCCTAGCATCTCTTGGCATGCATACTAACTGCACTCTGCTTAAAAAAAAAAAAAGATGCATAGCATTTTTGAAGTCTATAACTTTGATGTGCAGTGTTAAAAGTTGAGAAGCACTGACTTGTGATCATTGTAATAAACCTCCAGGCTAGGGAGTTATTAACATCTCATGCCCCTCCCCCC